CAAAATAATTTGATAGACAGCAATCCAAATATAGCTTGATAAAGGCATGTAGCAATGTTTTTCCATGTGGGGGAGAGGGAGAAACATCCAAAAAAAAAATTCTGCGTACTACAGATCTGTGCTACACGTGTACCATCTATCTTTCCAATGATAGGATACTTCCGTATAAATCTAGTACAGATGTCAAGTCCCAGCCGTTAAGCATTACAGGTATCGAAATAACCCGATTTTTTTTTTCAGTTAAATGACAAAACTTATAGGCCAATCGGGAATAAAATTTAACAACTTTGCTATGAAAGTACAATCACTCAGAGTAAGCAGATCATTGTAGAAAATGTTAACGAAAGGTAAACCTATGCCACCTTTCAGAGTAACCAATGAACTCGCTCATGGATGCATTGACGGTCGTTGTAACAAGAATAGATATGGGTTACCCCTTATCCAAAATATTCGACTTTTAATTTACTCCAATTTTCACTAGAAAAAAATCTGTACATGATATGAAAATGGTGTATAGTTCTTCATGTTTGTAGCAAATACCGTCACCAGTCTAAGCGTCACTAGCAAACAATACACACACCTGTGCTTGCAAGACCAAATAGCCTAGGTCTATACACGTGCGATAAGATTCTCAGACCTTCTGCCGAGAAGTTACGATTGCAGGTGTTGTATATTAACCATTCCGTTATTTAAATGAGACAGACAAAAAAAAAACACACAAAATTAATCTCTTTTTTGTGTTTTTAAATTGATCGAGTTAATCGATAACTTAGCATTGTTTAAGATAACTCGAGACCCTTTAGTAAAGGGGGGGGGGGTCTAAGTCACACCACAGGCACTTACATTCAAGCCCGTAGCAACGGTTTTCAAAGGGTGCAACTTCCAAAAAGAGTTGACAAGCAGAAATAAATAAATAAATTAACAACTTGTGCACCACCCTCTAAAATCCTATTTGGGGGGGGGGGGGGACTTCGTCTAACTTTTCGGGTACATTTTGATTTCTTTTAAATGCTTGATTTTCTGTATTTTGAACCGTTCCGCAACAAAAAGTGCGGGGGAGCTTCCAATGCAAATTAAAACTTATATATTCAAATTCTAACAAAAGATATTTTAAAGAAAAAGTGAACCCCCCTCCCCCACATACTACGGGACATTTTGAACCTTTCTCTTCAATGATTAAAATATCCCTATAGTATAATGAGATAAATATTGTCCTTTACAAAAATTTTGATATTTCTTAAGCAAAATTTGTACATGACAATTAATTGTCATGTACACAAATTTTGCATAAGAAATATCAAAATTTTTGTAAAGGATAATATTCTCTTATGGATACTCCCTTTCATGACTTTATATGCATACTTCTTAAAGTTAGTTACTTTAGAAGATGGTCCAAAAATGGCATAGCCGTACGTTCGTTCGCTGGAATCTTCCGATGATATCAAAGTGAAATATTTCAAGTTACATGTGGGTGGTCGAGGCCCGGGACCGGTATTGTGAAGGTACACGGAGGAAGCAATAAGCAAAACTCTATCTAGAGAGCAGAAAGGGCAGAAATTGAAGTACTTCATATTTTACTGAAAATACTAGATGTAAAAAAAAAATATGTATTACAGAATAAACATTCTCTCTTCCTCTTTCTGCAAAAATAAAGGAGGTTCCAACACCCGAACCCCCCCCCCCCTCCCTGGATACGCCAATGGAGATTACGATACCTGCAAGCCTCTTTTAATTCTGTTGTTAATTTTAAAAGCTAAATTACAATTGTGATAGATACCTAGATCAACATTTCATATTCACATCATTTCAAGGTCATGATTTTTCTTATCATTACAGCCTAATTAAACAGACTTAAATAACAATGAAAATTAGAGAAAAAAAGATTAAACTTAATTACAGCTTTGTAAACTCACTAAATCTAGAAATTTTCTTTGAATTTCGTTTCGAAACACATGCATATGGTCCACGTATTGCAGTCCTTTTTTAAAGGACAGCAACTTGTTTTAGTTTATTTTTCTCGAAGAATTATATTACATGCAGAAGTTAAGATATATAAGTAAGAAAAAAGCAGTACCGTCTATGATGTCAGTAAAAGCCTTCTTCATCTCCTGGAAGGCCACCCCCTGCATGCTTGCTGAAGTATCCAGTGCAAACATAACACATGGCCCTTTCCCGTGTTGGTACTTCAGTTTTCTATCTAGTAATTTTATGCTTTAACATTTTTGCAACCTTTTCTCAAAAAGACATTGTATGATACCTTCCTAACCTTAGAAATTAAAGTAGCATAATACTTTAAAAAGATCGTTTATATATAGTAATGAATTTTTATTCTTCTTGAAGCTTTACAAATATATACTAAAATATAATTCTTACTATTTGTTGCCTCTTCGTGAGCTCTGTTCATCCAGTAATCATCATCAACAAATTTTGCCATTATGTAAAATTCTACAACATTTTTTTTATACGTGGTAACTTTAGTCTTTTGTTTTTCCTCATTCGTAATAGTATTTTATTTTATTATCATTTTATTTCCGTATGAGACGATAACTTCAGCTTTGTTGTGCTTTTCCTATGTATCCTTTATTTACGTTTCTAAAATGGGAATAGTTTGAAGAATCCAACACACCATAATCCCCTAAATTCGGTGTTATACAGGTGTTGAGAATCAGTCTGTTTGTTATGTGACGCGACAACTTGAATGCATTTTAACCTCGAGACTTCATGTTTACTACAAAGGTAGAGGGTGTCCAGAGGAAAACACCTATCTATTTAGGGTTTGTGTGATCATAACTCACAACTGTTGCCTTGAACTCGACATTAACATATATCGACGATGTATTATCATTAACAATAGTGACTTTCATTCATATGTCGATTCGATATATCCCAGTGAACTTGAAATTAAAGACACCACAGAGTCTGTCCCATCTGTTTCATATTTGGATGTTTTACTAACTTTAGACGATGGGAGCCAACTAGCAACTAAATTGTATGATAAACGGGATGACTTCAAGTTTTCCATCGTCAACTTTCCTTATTTATGTAGTAATTTCCCGCTATCACCTGCATATGGTATTTACACCTGATCCCACCTCTAATGCTTTGAGGGGTCCATGTTTTCTCTGCTCCCGATTTGTATTGTTTCAATGGACTTTTGAGCTTGAATACTTTTCGTTATCTCAACATATCATCTCCCAACTCATTTGATATTCAAGAGCATGCTTTGAATACGACTAATTTTTAAACCAAAGCAGGTTACTGACAGATAAGTTGATGTTACAGGAATTTCAACAATCTCGGTTAAAATCGGAATTTGGTAAATTCTATGGTCGTTATATGACCTTGATAGCAAATATAACACATGAATGGATCCTTATTTGGCTGACATGTTTCATACCAATTGTTAGGCCGTGTTTTTATTCTGAACTTGACTACGGAATGTTCCGTTTATCTGATCAAGTCCTCTTCAAAGACTTGTATTGTTTATACATTTTTTGAGATAGATCGATTCACCTTTTTTCATTTCATAATCTATCATTAAATTACTATATCTAATTTATTGATTATTATTTTCTGGAACTAAGTACATGTATATAAAAATGTAAATTTTCGTATGAATTCATTGCATCATTTTTTTTGTAGTACTCGATAAAATAGGGGAAAGTTTTGTAAATTTTGACATGCCCCATTTTGAAAAACAGATCGTAGAATTTTGTGTTTCTTATAAATTATGTATGAAATATATGAAGATAACGAACAGTATTCAGGCTCGAAAGTCTATCAAACAATACAAAATAGGAGCAAACACGGACCTCTTAACATCAGAGGTGGTATCAGGTGCCATGGAGGAGTGAGCATCCCCTGCCGACCGGTCACACCCGCCGTGTGCTCCTTGTCATGATCGGGAAATAACGGAAAAAATCCGTCGACAATTCAGTGTGTAAATAATGGCCTAACAATTTGTACGAAAAACGTCAGTCAGCATTTGACTCAATGATAAATTGTATTTGCTGACAAGGTCATTGTATCGACCATAGAACTTACGAAATGATGACTTTAAACGAGACAGCTGATATTCTTGTTTCATCAACTTGTTTGTCAATAACTTACCTCGTTTTAGAAATTGTACATACGTAGAGCATGCTCTTGCGTATCGAATCAACTGAGAGATATATATACCCCGTATGCAGGTGATGAAGGTATATTGAAAAGTTAAAGTCATCACGTTTATCATAAAGCTTGGTTGTTAGATTACCATTAACGTCTTTTTCAAGTAAAATATCCATATATGAAACAGATATCATAGTATAAGACATCAAATATAAAAATGTGAGCAAAAAGTCTAAGATAGTATTTTGATTTGCTTTGAAGTGCAAGAAAATAAATGTAAATGTATTTTGAGACACTCTCAAAAATACTGAGAAGGTATATTTTCCTGAAACCTCAAATGCACACGTAGGCTAGTGTAGGTTACAAAGGTATAAATAGTCCTATTATATTTGTATACGCCCCCCCCCCCTAAACTGAGATTGTTGATACCCTTATACAATCAACATATTTATCAATAGCCCTACCTTGGCTTAGGAATAGTTCTTACGCAGAACACGCCCTTGCATATCGAAACAACTGCATGGGAGACATTAAAACCATATGAAGGTGATAACGGTGTATTCATAAATAAGTAAGGGAAGACGACAATAGAAATAACGTTCACGTTTATCATAAAATTTGGTAACGGAGAAAAATTAGCATATCATATTTATTATTATTTGATATCATATACTTGTGATTTCAAGAAAAACTTGTTGGTTTAAATAGATTAAATTTTGTTTTTATAATGCTGTTTTTAAAGAGCAATTTTCAATATATTATTTATTTGCAAATCCTGTAAATATATCAAAATAACTTTTAAAAAATCTTATCAAATGCCAAATAATTAAAAAACAGTTTAAAATGCTTTGGTGAAATTTCTTGTTTTATTCTGATTCTTCTTATCTCTGCTTTGTCAACGCTGGTATTAAGTATTCCTGCATCTAATGTTGTGCCTTTCTTTTGTTTTTGTGTTGATCTGTATCATCTTTGATGCTACAATTCTAAAACTAATGTAAAAATACATCTGAGGATTAAAACAGAACAAACTGCATCTACATTTCATTATATAGTTTTACTTAAGTGAAGCTATTTCTAGCAATTTCTGCACAATTGTTACTATTTCAATACTTTTTAATAGTGTTATTTAATCGCCCGTTATGCAAATTATCCCACGTTTCCAACTATCGTTGATGCCCTGGCATACTCTACTAACTAGACAGTGATTCCTTATATTTCCATTTCATTGTGAAATAAAACTGTAAATTTAGATTTTAAAAATGTAGACGAATAGATTTAAATTACATGAGGCCTCACATGTCAATTTCAATAGTCCCCGCCCACTGACGTCAAACACAAAGACAGCCGCACGAGAATTACATGCATATTAGGCCTCCTGAGAGTCAGACACAAGACAGCCGCACGAGAATTACATGCATATTAGGCCACCTTAGCTCCTGACCTTTCGCTTGGCGAAAGTTGCATTCCGGTAGAATGATGAAGAAATCAACTCTCCTAACTTTCAAAGAGTTATCACAGAGAAAACAAATAGAAATGGAAATATACTTTGATCAATCGAACACAACATACTCACCTTTCACCATTATAACTAATCAAGACCGTCGCCATGGGGCGCTGTCGAAGTCTGTAGTTTATCAAATTGTTCACGTGGTCAGAATAGTCTACCCAAACACCAGTGTTGTCCTGCCACTGCCAGGATAGATTCCGATTTGCTAAATTTAGTTTAGATTTAGGATCTTTGCTCGACAAATGGTTTTGCGAAATCAGTGCAACGTTGGATTCCATATCTGTACTTGTTTCCACCTGAACATTATCTTTATTTGTTACGGTTACACATAGTTCAGGATTTTTATAAGTATTTTTATTATTTGACAGTATCATTGAGGCATTGATGCTTGATGTTCCTTTGACAGAAACACAGTTTTTCACAATCACAGATGAATTCAGAGAGAGGGGATTGTGATATTCGTCTTGGCTTGCAGATCTATTGATATGTACAGAACCTTTAGATATACGTCCCATTAAGTTGCCTTCTAGACCAATACCATGTGCCTCATCAGTTTCCAGATCTTCCCCTGAAATAGCCATAGGGAAGTGTTCTGTTTGGATGTTGGTAACATTTGTTTTATCATAACACGTTAACTGGTCACGTTGTTTAACTGATTCATACAAGTGTTTGGTTGACTCGGCATCAGTCTCCTCTCGTAATTCCTTACTTCGACCTTGATTTGATTTTTTACTCTGTTGTGAGTAATTTCCCGTATCTCCCTTCATGATGCCACCGCTTCGTTTAGTTGTGTGGTGTGGTGATCCCTGTAATTCAGAATTACCTGCAAATTTCGCATAGAATATTACCGTACTAATAATCCTTAAATCATTTAGATCAAAGGCAAGCAATCTTTAATTGTTGATCAGGTTATATGGAAGTGTTGTTAGTTTATCACAGCAAATATTAACTTGAGAAAAAGTTAGTTTTATACGAGAACCTTTTAAACCATTAGAAGAAAGTTTGTGTTCTGTATTAGACTCAGACGTCTTAATTGCATTCCGTTGTTCTCTAACCGCTTTCATCACGTCTGGTGAGAATGGGTCGCTATAATACAAAATATAGTATTCTGCATAAAGTATATATGTAGGAAGCACTTCAATCAAAAACAGGGCAAAGACTATACCGCTCTTGTAGGGTAGGCTTTCCCATCTAAAATCTTTCCACAGGAAAACTGGCTCTAGAGCAGGATTTTCCCCCGGAAAAGGGCTCTAGAGTAGGATTTTCCCGCGGAAGAATGTCTTAATGAAACACAAAAATTATGAACAAAGTCTTCTTGTGCCTTCAATATTTAAATTTTCAAAATGTCGACCAGTTTGATTGAAACCTACGAAGAAAGAAGATTGAAAATTTTAAATATCATTTTTCTCAGTAACTGACCAACCAATTCTTTTTTTTTTTAAAAATCTAAGTCTTATTCTTTACATCTGGTCAAACTGGTTTCAAAAAAATATGGTACAGTGTTATCGGTTGAAGAAATTTTTAGCTGTAGACATGGAAACAAAATGGAGGAATTTATTTTAAAAGAATTTGTTTCTCCAATTGTGTAAAATATTGAGGTGTGTATCTTAAAGTTTCTGATACGAGTGTCAACGAATAGTCGACTATTCCACTATCAGTCGAATGGACCGACGTTCAAATAATGAAACGACATTCGAATATTATTATAATTAAATAAGTGCAATAATAGAGTGATAACGAGATGGAATTCTCATCACAAAATTGAGAAAACGTCTTTCCTCAGAGACAGTCGATAAGATAATTTTCCTCCTTTCCATGTACGTATAGAAAGTACAGTAATTGTAGGTGCTTCACTACTGCGAGAAGTAGTCAGTAGTAGTTAAACTTCCTGTGTTGTTTTTGTGATAAACTACCCACCAATATACTGGACTTTGTAAATTATTAATTGGACTTGATCTTATACCATGTACCAATTATCTTTCGTTATAAGATTACCCATCCCTTTCCCCAATTCATTTAGTAATAAGCTTTAAAAATATAAGCTGGCAAATTTAATGATTACTAAAATGAAAACTGATTGCATATACAGACAGATTTATAAATTCGATTGACTGGGAAATCATACATTTTGAAGAATTAGGTCTCTGAATTTATTTCATACAATCACTCTTTCCAAGCGTTACGTTGCATTAATTTTGTTTAAACAGATTTAAGTTTCGTTCGAATAAGGCAATCAAATAATCGACTAAGGAAAATAAATATTTTGACATCTCTAGTTTCTGGGTTTAAATATCCAAAATACTGCCGATGCCATAGAATTAAAAAAAAGTCAATTTCTAAAAATTTGAATTTATTAAAATAAAACTTTAACAGAGCATACAAATTTCAAATCCAATATTACATCGCTGGGGTCGTAGACACACTTATGCTACGGCGTCCAAGAGCATTGTTTCTTGTATGTTTGGTTTTTGGCTTCGGCTGCTTTTTTCTTTTTTCTCTTTGAAGAACTACTGGATTCAAATATATGTACTAACGAAATGATATGTGGAACCGATTGATAATGTAAATTTTAGAATTTTCTCAGAATTTCTTTGTAAAAGCACAGATTCATTGATAAAATACTGGGCCGGTAGTGGTCAACAAATTATTAAATCTCTGATGGTGGCCTGATAAACAATTTAACATTAGTGGACAGACAGGAACAGGTGCGCTAAGAGTAGTGCTGAGACATCGAGTCTTACCATTTTACCATTTCCTACGAAGTAAATTTTTGTTTTTGTTTGTTTGTTTACTGTTTAACGTCCCTCTCGAGAATTTTCACTCATATGGAGACGCCACCACTTGCCGGTGGAGAGCTGCAAATTTTGACCTATACTCGCACTCAAAACCAGTGAGCGGTGAGGGATCTTTCTCGTGTCAACACCTACTGCGACACGGGACCTCGGTTTATACGGTCTCATCCGAAGGACCGGTTTCCACGTCCCACAGTGCGACTAAATTTTTCTCATATAAACTTTTGGCTAGAATATTGTCGATATGATTTTAGCATTGATAAAATAGGGGAACTCGTACTCTAAGAAAGAAATAGCAGGAAATTGGGCTCCAGTTTGAGATTTCTTCTCGTGGGAAGTCCTACTCTAGAGTACAGATTCCGGGATGAAAGCTGGCTCGGGGGAAATCCTACTCTACACATTTTTTCTCAGCATAGTTACTTCTTTTTTTCTTTTTTCTGAGAGTTTTATTAATATTTGTATTAAATAATTAATAATAGTAAAGAAACAAACTACCAAAGTTCGATGTCGTATTTTCCATCGTATCCAAATCTGTAATTACCCATTCTTCCACAGGGCCATCGAACCTTAAATTTAGTAGTTTTACATGCTCCTATTATTATGTTGATTAATAAATGTGTGGCATTTTTAATGCCCTTTTTTGTACGAGTAAAAAAAATCTTGTTAAATAGAAAATAAACTTTTCACAAAAAACTGAAAAAATCTATTGTTACTTATTTAAAACATTGTTTCAACTTTTCATTTTAAGCCAAGGATGGAGATTTATTTTAGCAATGACTATAATAAAGAAATGTTAAAAAAAAAACTTACATAAACATTAGCATTTTCCATCACTCGATTACATGTTCCAATGAACTGTTATAAACAGTTAAATTGACCAACACTTGGTAATATGTCCCAATAAAGAAATATTAATCAAGAACAAACATAAACAGTGGCATTATCCATCACTCGATAAAAAGGTCCCAATGAACTTACATAAACAGTTTCATTGACCATCACATTGTTAATATGTCCCCATTAAGAAATGTTAATAAAAACTTACATAAACAGTAGCATTATCTATCATTCAATAACATGTCCCAATGACCTAACATAAACAGGACATTGATCATCACTTGATAATATGTCCCAATAAAGAAATATTAATCAAGAACTTACATAAATAGTAGCATCATCCATCACTCGATAACATGTCCCTATGAACTTACATAAACAGTGACATTATCCATCACTCGATAACATGTCTCTATGAACTTATATAAACATGGCATAATCCATTTTAGCAAAATCAACAGTTTAAAAACTTACGACTTTTCAACTTTATACACAACCATTCCCCACGATAAATTAAAGTCCAGACTTTTTGATATCATTGACAGCTGCTTTTTCCATACAAATGGAACACGTTAATTTACTCACCTTGTCATTGGTCATTTGCAAAATTATTTTGTTAAAAATACACACAAGTACTCTGAAGTTGACATTAAAAAGATACTTTGAGTTTCTGATTGACAATATCTATGTGGTTTTCGGAGACCATGTCTTCCAACAATTTATTGGAATTCCCATGGGTTCCAATTGCTCCCGTTATTAGCAGCTCTTTTTTGTATTCATATGAAGCAGAATTTGTCCAAAATCTTATACGTGAAAAAAAAAATAACACTTGCTGTGACCTTCAACTCGACATTTAGATATATCGATGACGTATTGTCAATTAACAATGGTTATATTTCCATTCTTATGTCGATACGACATATCCCGGTGAGCTTGAGATAAAAGATAAAACAGAGTCTGACACATCTGTTTCATATTTGGATATTTTACTTGAAAAAGACGTTAATGGTAATCTAACAACCAAGCTTTATGATAAACGTGATGACTTTAACTTTTCAATCGTCAACTTCCCTTACTTATGCAGCAATATACCTTCATCACCTGCATACGGAGTATATCTCTCAGTTGATTCGATACGCAAGAGCATGCTCTACGAATGTACAATTTCTAAAACGAGGTAAATCATTGACAAACAAGTTGATGAAACAAGAATATCAGCAGTCTCGTTTAAAGTCATCATTTCGGAAGTTCTATGGTCGATACAATGACCTTGTCAGCAAATACAATTTATCATTGAGTCAAATGCTGAATGACGTTTTTCATACTAATTGTTTGGCCATTATTTACACACTCAATTGCCGACGTATTTTTTCCGTTATTTCCCGATCATGACAAGGAGCACACGGCGGGTGTGACCGGTCGGCAGGGGATGCTCACTCCTCCATGGCGCATGATCCAATCCTCTGATGATTTGGAAATCCTTGTTTGCTCTGCTCCTATTTTGTATTATTTAATGGACTTTTGAGCTTGAATGCTGTTCGTTATCTCCATATATTTCGATAAAATGTCCCAATGAACTTACATAAACAGTGACATTGACCATCACTTGATAATATGTCCCAACAAAGAAATATTAATAAAAAACTTACATAAACATCAGCATTTTCCATCACTCGATAACGTGTTCCAATAAACAAATGTTCATCAAGAACGAACATAAACAGTAGCATTATACATCCCTCGATAACATGTCC